TCGCCATAGCGATACACAAGGCAAATTATATTAGCTTCATAGGCAGCCTCATCTCACAAGATGATTTGTTTTAATTTCAATACTTTTTGTGACCGTTCCCCTCTCTTTTTTTTCTTTTCCTTATTACTAATATATATATTTGTTTATTATTATATATTATATTAATATAAATTATAAAATGATAATATTTAGAACATTTAATCATATTATAAATATATTGTAAAATTTTTTCAAGGTAGTTGCAAGCATGGGATCCAAACCGAACCTGAAGCCAACCGTTAAACCGCTAAAAATCGATATTTTTTATCGAACTTAAACCTCTAAAAAATTTCTAGTCGAACCGAACCGCTAAAATGCCTCTGAACCGGTTGGAGTCTCATAATTATATGCTTATAAAAAAATGTGTAAGTTATTACTAGTAGTATATTGCAAAAATTTAATTATATTCATATTGTTTTAAAAATTATTATCAATCACATTTGATTGATAAACATCAGTCATAGTTTTTATAAACTTTAGTATATTGCCATTTTACAATATTTTTTAAATATTTTAATATAAATTATAATGCCTAGAAAAAAATTAAATCTAATATATAAATTATTTACATATATATTATAAATGACACATCAAATCTGATATCATACTGGCAATGCCAGCTACCCAAGTTAGTGTGGAAAGATGTTCAACAATTAAATTTATATTATCTCCTTATAGATGTAATTTGAGTGAGACGAATTTTAAAAATATATTAATTGTGCGGCTTAATAAAAAAAATTTAAGTAATTGTTCATATTAAAATTAATCATTGATATATTTATTTGTTATATTTATAAGTTAAATAGTATTTTATAATGTGCAATTAATAAAGATGAAAGTATTTTAATTATGAAATAAAAATTTTATTTTCCTTATACATAATCCTAATGTAGGTTTGAATACAAAAGTGTTCAAACCGGTTTTTAGAGGTTCGAACTAAACTGATTTTTATTTTTTGCGAACCGAACCTTAAACCGTTATTTTTATCCCTACCTGAACCGAACCATTCGTTTCGGGTTGGATCCCTGGTTGCAAGTTCTTTTTCCACCCTTCTGCGGGCCCCCATCATCTCACAACTAGAAAAGATAGACTTCCAGTTTTGGTTAAAAATTTAATGAATAAGACAATTTCAAGTGATTCACGAGAAAGTTTATCCATAACTAAAGTGGGGGAGGAGACAGCCATCATTTAGTTTTTTAACATAGAATTATTATTAGTTGTATTATTGAACATAATTTTTACTTCTTTCTCTTTATAATCGTTCATTTAACTATGGTACTGAAAGTGTAACTGTTGTTTATTATAATCATTAAAAAATATTGAATAAAACAAATTTATTTAATATAATTTTATAATAAATAAATTTATTTAATATAATTTTATAATAAATAATATGTCAATGCAGAATCATTTGTAGGTGTTGGTAAGGTACCATTTGTCTTCAGGTAGTTTAGAAATTTTAAAACCTCAGTTTTAAAAGCACTTGGTTGTCTAAACTTAAGATTTCAGCATCCTCTATAAGGCTATCCATAAAAAGTCTAAATAAAATATTAATAAATTTTAGATAAAAATAAGCTTTACTGCATCCCATATGGCTTTTCTTCCAAAATTTAATAACCTATTAAATTCATTCAGTACTTTAGGTTTTTTTGTTGTTGAGAGTTCCACATGAAAATTAATATTTCAAATATTTAATTGAGGAAATTAAATTTTTGAGTATTAATAAAACAAAATACACTTATAATTTTTTATAGTAAAATATCTTGTAGGATTTATTCAAATATAGATGGTAAATAAAATCAATATAAATTTTGGATCAGTATTGGATAGGCTTTGTAGTATTATCAGAACAGAATTTGTGGATTGGCAGAACCCTACTCTTTATTTTCCAAGTAGTTATTATCAACTTACCAATAAAATAAATAACATGAATATTTAATTAAAGGTTTTCCTATTTTCTCCTTATTCAGCTGATCCTTGAAGTTTCATAATCTCTTCTTGAGATAAAGAGGACTGTTACCAGTGTCTACATGAGCGGGGGGGGGGGGTAAGAATAGTTTGCATCCTAATATCTATAAAGGGGTGGGTGGTAGGGGGTAGGAATGTTGGGGGGTGGCTATAATAATCTAGAAAATTTTCCATTACATTTTTAAATTATCTTTGGATAACATTTTGGTATATTTAGGGGGGTAGATATATATTTTTGAGGAGGGTTTGCATCCAGTAAATATACTGTCATATAGACGCTGACTGTTACCAAAACCAGGGAATTCCAATGCTAAGCTAATTATATTTAATATTCTCATATATTTATACCTGGAATCAATACCTGATAAATGTTCCTTAATAATAATTTCTTACAATTTAGAAGAGTTTTATCATTTCAAAGTTTAAGAAGTTTTGAAAAACGCAAGCAAGTTTGTCTTTTAAAAAAAAATTTTAAATGAAAATGTTCTCAAGAGAGTATCCCTATCTGATGTGAAAAGACCAGATGACCTTACACATATACCTTGGTTTAGAGAAAACATTTATTTTGGATTGCACTTGTGTCATAAAATATTTAGGCGCAGCTTTTTGGAGTAGTATATATATCGTGGGATTGTAATGAGAGATTGTTAATGTTTCAAATAATATTGTAAAAATAGCAAAATACGTAAATTCTGAACTACGCAATAAATAATTACAAAACCATGCAAGTATAAACAGCAAAAGGTGTGCAGATAATTATTACAAATTACACAAGATACGTGAAAAGACTAAAAAGATCCATATTTATTCATTATTATATTTATCAGAAGATTTCATATTTATTCATAATTATATTTATCTATCCATTAAAAAAAATATAAAGATTATAAATAATAATTATCCAGCTTCATATATTCTTCATCCCACAGGTCCATTCTTTACCAATAAAAAGATCCAAATTTATTCATAATTATATTTATCTATCCATTAAAAAAAATATAAAGATTATAAATAATAATTATCCAGCTTCATATATTCTTCATTCCCAAAGGTCCATTCTTTGTTCCTCCCAGCTGACATCTTCTCCAATTAATCCAAAATCTTCACTCCAAATCTCCAACAAAAGACTTTTCTTTAACAATAACCCAAGTGATGATCACGTTTTTCCTCCATCCACCAGGAAAAACTTAATTCTCCTGTCAGAAAATAACTGACATTTGATGTATTAAATTAAATTTATTTCTTCTTTTTTTTCAACAGCTACAACAAAGACGAAGCACGCAAATTAATTATAAACTACGGAAGCACCTCAAATTACTATACTATGCAAATTTACAGAAAAGCTCTCAAAATGTGTGGGTTGTAACATTATCAATAAAATATTGACCTAGGATTAATATTTTTGAGGCTAGATTAATTTTAAATTTCTCATTCTTGATTGAATATCAAAAATAAAATGAATAAAAATCGAATTAAGTATTATAAAAAAAATCAGGTAGTGGGGCGAGAAGTAATCAAAAAAAATATTTATTATACTCACTTCTTTAGCAAAGAGTTGACAAAATTTCTTATCTAATGCCCTCATTTAACAAGAATGAAGAACACGCTGAAATCCTGATAAGGTTCTTTAATATTTTTACATCATCAATATGGATAGTTAAAGTCAGGTTCATTTAATTTCTTAGTGTTTTATTTTTCATATTCTCAAATTTTGTAATAAATAAAATAAAAATATCACAAACCTAAGGATTGCTAAATAATTTAAATTTAATGTAAAACATTATAACAGAGAAAGAAGATTAAAGAAATACTGTAGGTTTAAAATATATTTCCTAATTTTTTTTTATGAAAAAGTTGTGCCACTAAAATTTTTGTCATTGGGCAAGGGCAAAAAATATAATTAGAACAATGCAATTTACGAATTAAGTCATATCTCTTCATTAATTTTTCCATGTAGTGAAAATATACCAATAAATTCTTAAGACTAAAAATGTGAATAAAAGAATATTTATTTGCAAAATTTTACAGTTTAAACGAGCAATGGTTAAATGCAATATTCTTATAAGCGAAAAAAATGCACTATTTTGAAAATATTGCTTGAAAAGTTTTAATTATGATAGGATACCTGCAAATCGGTTGTGAGAATTATTGGATAAATGCCAAGATTTTAAAGTCCCTTTAATATTCATATAATGTTTAACAATATAGGTTGATTGCGAATCGAGAGATTTGTCTAATCAAACACCCTAATTATTCATAATATTTAACAGCTGAAAACTTTCGAATGCTTAAATCTAAAGCCAAATTATTTAAAAATAAAAAAAGAATGGAAAAATATTGAATATACGCTTTCTTAAAAGGTAAAGAATATGTATATGGAATACATATTATAACTTAAACAAAATATTAATAATAAAATAAATTAAGAATATCACATCTATGCTAAATACCAGATAAATGCGAAAAAAAATCTCTTCAACGTTTCTCATGTAAACGGTTTCAAGGTATATTGATATGATATATATATATATAACTTCTTTTAGAGTAATAGTGACTTAAAAAAGCATAAACCTTTTTTAATCAAATTAGTACTAAAATTTTAAAGAAACGACAGATACAAATTAAAAAGAAATTTCATTATCAACTGGTATTTTATTATTAATTAATATTTTCACTTGCCGGCGGAGTTTTAAGCAATATTTACACGTCCTTGATTATCGGAGATGATAGCATAATTACAAAAGAAAAATGAAAAGTTCTATGGCTATAAAATTGCTTAGGATTGAATATAGGAATATTTATTTTGAAAAAAAGTGTAATAAAATGGTAATGGCAATCGATGATATAGGTTGATAATTTATTAAACTTTCTCTATAAAAAATGATATAAATTAATTATGATGTTAAAAATAATAATTATTCTCAAAAGTCTAAGCTTTATGTTATATAAGTTTGTTGTAATTTATTATTTATTTAAAAACAAAGTTTAAAATGTAACTCGTAATTGTATTTAACGAATAAATTTATGGTAACTATATAGGAGCAGTCGAAGTCACGTGGGTATACCATATATTATATTTATTTTATTTCGTATAACTTCGCTTCTTTCTATATTATTAAATATGTTAATATTAAGTATAACATATAATTTCAATAAATTGCATTTTTATTTATACCATTTACAAATGAGAAAATTAGTCGATTACAAATTTCAATGAATAAATATGATTGCACTCATAAAACATTGTGACGAAAAAATAATATTTAAAATTTAAGAACTCATAAAAAATATGGGAATTTTTAATATTTTATACATTTTGTACGATATCGCAATCGAAATCAGCCAATTTGTTGATATCAATTTGACTTGATGGAGTGGCGAAGTTAGTGCTGTTAAATTTCTTAATCAGCCTAAGGGCTTTAAACTTGCGAATGTCTTCGACACTGCCTATGACATTATGTTTGCACTTGTAAATAGGAGCTCGAGTATCGGCATATCTCAACGGGAAAGCTGTTTCCTTTGAAGTTTCTCTGATATCATTGTAAAATTCTCTCTCCAGTGTACATTTATCCAATGTAAATGTTTGACAGATACTATTTCTTGAAATTGTTGATGAGGTAGTCGGATGTTTGTGTCTTCTGTGGGGCTGACCGAATGATGGAGAAAAAGGAACTGCGTGCTTATAATGATATCTCAAGTGGGAGTCAGGAATAATAATCGCATTACTATTTTTCTTCCTATTGTTAACATATCTCCTATCCTGAGTTACGTCGCTCATTATATCATCTTCGTCGTCGTAACGAGTTCCCATGGTATCCTTTGTATAAGAAACTCCTTCATCCTCTCCTTCAATATCCGTTTGCGAAAATTTGGTTAGTCTATCAAACCTGTCATCATATTCCTCTTCATATTCAAGAGTGAAGGTTGAAGCTGATAAAGAAGATCCGTTATCAGTGTTGTAATCGCTTTCTCGATGCTTCAAGTTTTGTATATCGCTTTGTAAATTGTTTGTGTTTATTGAAAAGGGAGGAAGGGGATGGCTCGATAATCTTAAGTTATTATTATAAGGTTTGACGTTTAAGGGTCTGATATGGCATGGGGATTGTGTAGGCTCATTTTTTACAAATTTGACATTAATGCTATTATAAATAGAGTCCGCATGGGCACGTTTAACTCCCGATTTGGTTTCAGACTTCAACTGGATGGAGGATAAGAGTTTATCAAATCGTTTGAAGGTGGGTGAAGCGGATGCATTACCAGGATCTGTTTTGATTGGGGTAAATTGATATTCCTTTGGACCGTTATCCCGACTCTTCATGCTTCAGAATATTACGATTAAAATACGAATTTGCCCTAAATTTTTAAAAATGTTTATAATATAAAGTATAATCTTTTGAAATAAGGTTTCCCCTCTTTATAACTCCCTTGGTAATTTGATGATTGTTAAATTAATATTTAATCGATTACATTTCAGATTAAACTTTAAATAATTAAATTCATAAATATTAAGTATTATTTATTAATAATAAACAATTATTTTTAAAGAATTTAAAAATAAATTTTGGTAAATTAATATTTAATAAAAGCATAAATGATAATAGATTATATGGTAAAACGCGACCTCAAAGCTTATTATAGCTCCATTAATATGATATCGATTTCCCATTTTGTTTCATAATATATATATTAAATGTGCAACATGTTCCAATTAATTTATGATAAAATAAATCAGAGATAATAGTTTTTTTTAAATGTAAAATCCTAATATTCAAAGCTAGCATTGACTTATAATATTAAAATGCTATCTAAACATAATTATAACAGTTGAAATATCTAAAGAGTTTTTATATTTTTAAATTGGACAAATATTTTAACTAACATATTGTTAAAAAACTTAATAGTATTCTCTAATCTTTTAAGCCATTTTGCCTTCAAAAAAATAAAACAAACTGTGATTTGTTAATCCAGAATAAATATGTTCAATTGACAAATAATTAATTCGATAATTCCTTATGTTTATAAAAAAAATGTGATAGCATATTTTTATAAATCAAAGAAATAATTAAGACAATTTGATAAGTGCCATTAAGGATGAAAGGCAGAATTTTACATTTTTAAGTATGTTTATATAGCTATCGTAATCTTCTAAGTATACTATATCATATAAAGAAATGTATGGACAGTTAATTCAAATTTATCACCAGGACATGGATATAGGTTCTCTTGAGCCGGAACAGGACAATGACAATCATATTAAATTATTTTATTTGCTAAAAAGAAAACAATTACTTTTTTTTATTAAAAAATAAATCATAAAATTTTATAAATTTCTTTAAATTTTTCTTCAGATATGGGGGATGGAGGCAAACCAAGCAGAATTTTGTGAAAACTATATAGAAGCCTTGAGTACTAACAAAATATAGAAATATCTCAAAGAGTAGCTGACAAAATTGTTGTCTAACATTGGCGACGTTAGCCTTTTCAACTTCAGTGCTCCCTTTTTAAATGGTAATTCTATTCTAAAATGAGCAGGAGATTTTATCTAAAATAAGCAAAGAAAACAAAAAATTCCAACCAAAATTTGTGCAAAAAAATTTGTTCAAATTTTTCTTTAGGAGGGTTCTCCACTACGGACTATTATTATATAATTAATATTTTAGTAATATATATATATATATAAATTATTTGCACTTTTGTTAGAAGATAAATTAAAATGAGTTCTGGTTTCTCTTCCTGTTTCTATAAATTTTAAATGAGGATTGGGTTCTAGTTTATAGATTTGTATCGGTTCCTACGGTTTCGAGTTCTGGTCTCGATTCCAATCGGATAAATTTTTTTGATAAAAATGGGTCTGCATGCCTTGGTCCTACCAGTTTTTAGCTAATAACTCGGTTTTGCCATTTTGGAATCGACTACCAACTAATTGAATTGAATAAATGTGTGCTGAAAAAAGTAATTTCTATGAAAAATGAATTTTTGAACATTAATTTATATAAATTAGTAAGAATTATAGATTATGATAAAATGATCTTATATTTAAAAAAATTAAAATTTTAGAAATATAGATAAATTCACAAAATATTCTTAAGATATATTGCATTTATATAAACTAGCAAGGCATTTTTTAAACCCGCCTGGCCTAAAAATTTTAATTTTCAACAAGCAGGGCCAAGCCGAATATTTTTGAGCTAATTTTTCAATTATTTAATCAGTATTTGATGTCAAATTCCTATGTATATATTTAGAAGGGCTAAATGATTCAATCTACTTTTTGAGATAGGGCACTTCCTATAAATTTTTTATTCTTCTTGAAGAAAAAAATATTTGTTTATTTGTGCAAGTGCTAATGAGTATATTTAGTGGTCAAAATCATAATATTACTAGGAAAAGAAACATCGATTTGTAAGGACCGCTTGATGAATCAAGAAGCTTTCATTTATCTGACTTAAAAAAATTATTTTCAAAAGGAGGACAAAACGATTTATTATGTCATAATATTATTCTATTGATCCTATATTAATATTTGAACGATTGCGAAGCGAATATCAAATTCCCAAATCTTTGGTTTAAAATCAACAATCCTAATTTATGAAATTCCACGTTACCATCTGCCTTAATTTCTTTATCAATGATTTTTGAAAAGTATGTAGTATATATTTAAATAATTTGTTGATTCTATTGAAAAAAATTGAATTTTATTGAGACCAAGAAGGGGTATTTTTATAAGGGGTATCTTTTCCAGATAATTCTGTTCCTGAACTCCATAGAAATAAAAACTATATTTTTTGGCTCTGGGATAGGGGAAATTGTCTTATTACGCGCCACTCGCTGGCTACGCCTCTGCTTAAGATTAACATGATAAGCAAAAATTTAAACCAAAAAAAATGATAAAAAATTTTATTTTTAAGGTATAAAAGTATTTTTATTTTTTTAAATATATCATTAAAATGAGTTGGTGTAAATAAAGTAATTTCTATCGATAGGTGCAAATTATAATTACCTCTCATAGGATTAAATTTCAGACTTTAGACTTAATTGATTTTAAAGTAGATTGAGTTGGACTAATGTGCCCCTTAAATTTTCCCAAGTCTTCTCTAAGGCATATTTTGAGTTGTATAGAATTTGTTCAGTTGGTCACGCTCTAAACCTGAAGATAAGGTTGACACAGTTTATTAATATGATAAAAATAACCTCTTGATTGCTTAGCTGAGAGATCTTTATTACTCAATATTGTTATAGTTTTCTAAAAGAATAATTCTATAATTATGTAAATTCTCTCATCAAATTCAAATCATTTCTTAAGCCATATTGAAATTACAATAACTAACCCCAGTTAACATTATAAAAAATTAAATTACTAGCCTTGAGAATATATTGCCGCAATGTTTTTATTTTAATTTTGAATTTTTAAAACTTCAGTCCGATTTAATATTTGAATTGTTCTACATTAAATGATTAAAGTTAGAAAAATGTATAATTATTTCGATATATTCTAGATTTGTATACAATATATAATATTTTTATATTTGTCGCATATATACTTAATTTTCATTTTATATTTATACAAAAAAAATTATATATTCCACAATCTCATTTATCATTTAAGCTTATTTTAATAAGTGAAAAAGTTATTATTCATTATTTTATTCTTACGTAATATGAGATAACTTTAAGTGAAATTTTCAGATGTATTAATTCAATTTTTAATTTTTATATTCATGTTTAATGTTAAAAAAATGTTTATTTTTTTGAGTGTGAATTGAATATTATTTCTAAAAAAATAAAATAAAATCGATTAATAAAATTAAAATCAAGTAAAATGAAAAAGATTAATATACATAGCCTGCAAAGCTAAGATTTTTATGGGAAGAGGGAGGGGGGTACGATTTTTTATCCCTATCTTCTTTTTGCCGGCAATTTTATTTAAAGATTTTTGTTTATAATATTTCTTATTCTACCTTTGTTATTTTTGTTGCTTTTTTAAAATATGTATATCAATTATCAGCTACGTGAAGTTGGTCTAACGATTGCTAATTATAAAATCGATGCCAATATTTAATAAAATGTATATTTATGCGTCGTCTAACTATGCGTCCCCCCCCCCCCCCTTCCCCCCCCTCCCCCGAGATTTTAATGGGAAATTGCATCGTACCTGTTAGAGAGTTTAGGAGATCCACACACAGGGTTAGCCTCATTGGAGCGCAACCAGTTAAATTTTCGTGTTAAGGAAGTATCCCATTTTCCAAAACGATGGAATGATTTGATTTATTATTTATAACATGTTTAATTTTTTTTAAATTAAAATTTTGTTAAACCTAAATGTGCCTATCATCTTCTGAAATAAATATCATGTTATTATGTATTCATATATTTTTTATAATATTTTTAGATATTTTTTTAAAATGGAAGAAGACATTTCTGAGAATTAGGAGTAATAAAAGTTTATTGAGAGAAGTTGTATCATTTAAAAAAATCAAAACAAATTTTATTACTATTTTTCTTTAAACTTAGAGGTCTGCAACGGGTATGTTTTCAACCCACGTTGGCCCATGTTGTCAGCTGGTTAAAAATTTAAAAAATTCGGCGGGTGGGTTAAATATTTTTTGGGAGAAATGAGTAGAAGGGGCCTATATTTATTAAAAGTTATTTTTTCATTTCAAAATTTTATTTTTTAAGTTTAGTATAAATATAGAATAAAAAAAATAACTACACACCATCAAATAATTTTATAAAATTGGGCGAGCGGGTTAAAAAAATATTTTAGATGGGTGAATGGGTAATTTTTTTAAAAACTATGGGTGGGCAGACGAATCGGTTAAATTTTTTTTAAAGGACTAGCGTTCGGGTTCATTGATGACTTCTCAATTACAACCCCTATTTATGCCTATATATTATTTTTATTATTAATATCATTATGAAAACCAATGATTTTATTCTATATAGTTCTTTATAGAAGGAATTTATCCTGAATCCACCCTCTATTGATAAGCCACTGATTAGAGACTTCGAACAGGGATGTCTTGGGTCTGGTTGCAAATATTTTCTATAGACCACTAGATAAGATAAATTAATTTCATTGGTTCAAATATCAATGCAATTTTCGAAGATGAATACCCTGGCCGCGCTTGTTGCCAAAGTTCACACTCGAGATCTTTATGGGTAGTTCTTTGACCCTAACGACCGCCTTAAATTCAATTTTTTTAGGTCCCGGCTCATCATTTTCTTTAAATTCACCTTCCTCCTACCCCACAGCCCATTTTAACTTGCCCGCTGGCCCAATGTTTAAAAATTATTTGATTTTAATTTGCCTCTTTGTTTATTTTATTAATATACAATTACAATATTATGAAATAAAATTTTTTAAATTTTAATAATTATAGGTTCCTTCTGCTCATTTCGTTCGAAATATATTTTTAACCCGCCCGCCCAATGTTTAGAAGGGGAGCGGGGGTGAGTTGGCTAAAACCCCCAATATGCAACCTCTAGTTTATATGCCATAACGGAAGGTTATAAATATTGATTATCTAAATGAGTTAATCAATCAGTATAAGATTAAAAAAACATAAGGAAACGATACTGCGTTAAAATACTTAAAAAATTTTATATGTGGTATTAAAAAATTATCCAAAACTCTTTTATAAAAATAAATGAGCTATTTACCATTATATTTCTTTTCTTAGAGAGGTCTTCAATAATGGATGTAAGAGCCAAGTAGTCCAAACCCCCTAAATGGCTTTTCACTTTATTTTAAAATATGTCATTTATTGTCTAACTCATTCGTATCGGAATTTTCCTATAAAATCCTTTAAAAATTTTAATGCATTATATAAATCTTTTTTAATCAATAGATTTTAGAACTAAACATAATACCAAAATAATATAAATCAATAATAGTAATAATAGTAATAAATACTTCATAATTATCGATAAATTCATACAATTATTTAGACGAATTCTTAGTTACATTTATAAATTTCACCCCTTTGCTAGGCTCCTATCATTTAGACTTGTTAAAAGTCAGTTTTATTCAGAATTCTGAACCCGAATTTGGGTTCAGAAATTTAAAATAGTTTGGTTGGGAATTTTGAGGCCACAGACCAAACAATGATTGATTTATGGACAACCCATCTAACCCGGGGTAATATAGGCCCGGGGTGTGGATCTCGGTTTTCGGCTAAGTTCCTGTTATCAAAATTTCTGCTAAATAGAGTTTAATTTCTGAACCCGAATTAGAGTCCAGAACCCTGGTTTTATTTAGGATGGCTCATATTTTTCTCAAATAAGAATGCGTTCCTTAAATTTTAAGGATCGATCCACAGCGACACAAAATAATTTAGAAAAAATATAAAATAAGAATGATTTTTTGATTTACAAAATGCTACAATATGTGGAGAGGAGAAGGAACTATATAAAAATCAACCAATAATATAACAAGGTTGGGCAATAGTTGGCTACAAATGTATCTAGGTTACATTTTTTCAAAGGTAAATTGTGGCGATGATAGCCAGACTACATTTTTTATAAAACAGCTTGTTATGCCACCCATCTTTGTGATATATTACAAAATATATAAGATTTTAAAAATTATTTTAGAACGTTTATAATGATCTAAAAACATAGGTAATATATATCACAAATAATAAATAATAGAAAATTTGTTAGAATATAAAATTCGGACAAAATAATAATAAGCATTAGTGATCTGCATTGGGCCTAATTTTTCAAGCCCGGCCTGGCCCGAATTTATTTAAATATAGATTAATTTTTATAATTAATCAACATAAACGATATATGTTATATGGCGTCTAGTTTCTATAAATAAAATCAAATATTTTTATTTTACATGAAAAATTCAACATAAAATTTATAAATTTAGATATATTCTAAAATTTTCTAAGATGATTGTTTGTTAAAAAATAGATCCGGCCCGGACCTACTTTTGCAGATCTCTAGATTTAAAAAAGAGTTTATAGAGGATTTTGATATTTTAAATTATCGGTAAAATTTTCTACAATTATTTAAATGATAAAATTTTTCGAATCGCACACAAAGAATCCACATATATTTATAATTATAATAGTATATGTTATTTTTATTAGGTGGGGTTTCCCCCATCAATTCTATTGTAAGTCTTTAGGTTCATTTATTATTGAGTGTGTTAGACTTATAAATTTTGGATTTTCATTTTTTTTATAAAAATGTTTTAGAGGGGGATTTTATTAGCTTATAATGATATTTACGAGAACGGCACAACTCTGGTAATTATAGATAATGTTAGCTTAAAAAAATTAGTTTTGAAAATAATTGAAAACAATTTTTTTGAACCCCCTGAGATTGTAAAGGCTAATGACGCCCTGCTTATTTATTAAAAGAACTGATTTAACTTTAACCCCCTCCCCCTCATTCTTCCAAATATCATTTATATTATATTTAATGAATAATAGTTTTAAAAAATGTCTATATTTATTTCGATAATGTGTATTGATAGTTTTTTATTGCTATCGGAAACATAATCCATAATGAATTAAAAAGTTTTTTCATAATGCTCACAATTACAAATATTTAGATTTTTACACAATCTAATATATTAGAAACTTAGATGAAGATAGTAATTAAAAATGGTGGAGGTGCCTAGATTCTTATCATTTTGGCGTGCTAATAACTTTTCTATAAGTCTATTCATGGATCAGTTTTGTTGCCCAAGTAAAATTTTTAGTGCTCAGATTAAATTTATATGTGAGAACATATATGAACATTAATTAAAAGTATAAATATTATATAAAAATAACCATTATTAAATAATATAATAATTTGTTTTTTTAAATTTGTAATTAAAAATTTTTTATATTTATTAACATTGTTATTTTTTTAAAAAAAATATGAAATTTTTATTTTAGGATACATAAAAAAAAATCAATACTTTTAATATCAATTATTTTCAAAACCGCCACACATTTTCAAATTAATAAAAGATTTGTAATATAAAATATTTCAGCCCTAAATATTATCAATTTTAGATTTCTATATTCTATTATATTTCTTCAATACTTCATATATTGATTTAAAATTTTTTTAAAAATAATGCCAAATCATTATCGGATTAATTATTTATTTTGTAAGGGAAAATATGTATATTATTTAAAACAGGTAATAAAGGAGGAAGATCTTATGAGAATTCAAAATAATATGAAATACCCAGGATTTGAACCTGTATACTAAAAAAAGTTTGGATAAACCCTATTATAATATAATAATTGGAAGGATGAGTAAATCTTCTTTTCCTTCAATATTTTTATCGTAATATGTAAATGAAAATGTAAGGGGGGGGGGTGTTAAATACTTCTCCCACTCCCCAATGGGAATAGGATAGGGATGACATTTGCTTTTACTGTTTATTTTTAATTTATAAAAATTCCTTCTCAATTTTCATCTTTTAT